AAGTGTATATAAGAGAGCATTTCCAAAAATGGAAAGAGGTGGGTGGAGTGTCACCGTGTTTAATTCATTACATGAGCAATATCGTAGCAAATAGAAAAGAGGCTCTTATTCTATATTCTGGCTTGTCAATATCTGTAATTTGAGTTTCTAATTCGTTCAAAACTATAGACTTAGTATATTGACTTTACAACCATCTAATTTTAACCAGTGCTGCATTCAACATACCACATGACACACAAAAATCAATGTTTATCTGTGTTTTTTTATATTTGCTTTTAAATTAAAAATTGAGTAATGTATAATACTAAAATTTGAATTATAATCTAAAGTTTGATACCAAATTTATTGACATAAATTCATAAAATCGTATTTCAGTAAAGTTTTGAATGTGAGTCAACAAACGAGATGACATGGCCTTTCACCTGTGACCCATCTTGAAAGGGTTAACCATGTTTCAGTTATTTCCATTATATCAAAATCCTCCATTCCTACCAGTTCTAAAGTCATCTGTTTTATTTCTTATACTTCTAGCATTACAATAGTAACCTTGGATTGTGCTAAGTAATTCTTTCCTTCATCTGGCCCAAGGGATCATTTCTTAAGCCTTGGATCGTGCTAAGTAATTCTTTCCTTCATCTTGCCCAAGGGATCATTTCTTAAGTCTTGGATCGTGCTAAGTAATTATTTCCCTCATTTGACCCTAGGGATCATTTCTTGAACCTTGGATTGTGCTAAGTAATTCTTTCCCCTCATCTGGCCCAAGGGATCATTTCTTAAGTCTTGGGTCATGTTAAGTAATTCTTTCCCTTATCCAGCCCAAGGGATCATTTCTTAAGCCTTGGATCATGCTAAGTAATTCTTTCCATCATCTGGCTTAAGGGATCAGATTACGCTACCCAGGTGCACAGTTGGAAGATATAACTAACAGAGCAGGAGATATAATAAAGGGGGCTAGCAGAGATGCAGTTTTTGTGGAACATATAAGGGATAATGATGCAGGGAAAGGTAGGTCAGAGGAACTAATTAATAAGTTCAAGGGGTTAGTAAAGGCATTTAAAGAAAAAGGCCATAACTTCATTTTGTCAGGGATACTGCCCAGAAATAATTGTGGGGATGAAGTTAAGGTCAGTATGTATGGATGAACAAATTGGCTGTTTGGACTTGTGGGATCAGTTCAGTGGAAGAAGGGAGCTTTTTAGGATAGATGGTTTATATTTAAATAGATTAGGGGTTGGTTTGTTTGCTAAAGCAATTAACTCAACTATAAAGGAAGTTTTAACTAGGACTAAACAGTGGTGAGGGCCAGGAAAAACTACATGCAAAAAGAATAAGAGGCAGAGAAAGGTTTAGCATAGAAAATGAGTATAGAAGTAGCTATAAGGATAGGCTTAATTACTTAAGAAATGATCCCTTGGGCCAGATGAGGGAAAGAATTACTTATCATGATCCAAGGCTTAAGAAATGATCCCTTGGGCCAGATGAGGGAAAGAATTACTTAACATGACCCAAGACTTAAGAAATGATCCCTTGGGCCAGATGAGGGAAAGAATTACTTAGCACAATCCAAGGCTTAAGAAATGATCCTTTGGGCCAGATGAGGGAAAGAATTACTTAGCACAATCCAAGACTTAAGAAATGATCCCTTGGACCAGATGAGGGAAAGAATTACTTATGTATTAAAGTAGAGTCAGAATAAAATCCAGAACCAGAAGTATTGGAAAAACTGTATTCAAGGAGGAATAAATGGAGCAGATCAGTGTTATATAAAGATTGGACCTAAGGACAAATATAAAGAAGACAACACTCTTCTCAGTACAGTATTTCTACCCTTGATACCCTTTAATTTTATAAAAAAGGGTTTGATTATGGTAGTAATGGTTTTACCTGTGGAACCAACATTGGGAGTCCAGCTGGTGGCATAAACAGATAGGAGAAATACCATTTTCTGCTCCTGTAGTGGAAGGTTCTCAAGAAGGCAGCTCTGACAACTACGAGTGAACACACTCTTGGAGCGTTTGTACTTTCTAATCCATATCTGAAAAGACCAGTGAGTCATGAAACCAGCCAAATCAGTGGAATCTCAGAAAGAAATGAAGAAAGACCCAAGCATTCACAAGGATTGGGCATGACAACTTGAGAACAGTGCAATAGGAGCATCAATATAAAGTAGAAAAAAAAAATATTTTTCCCATCCTGGTTGGAACTGTGAGATATCTATTGAGAATTGGAGCCCTATGTCAGATATCTCTTAATTCCACACATGGATATGCTTGCAGGTGTGGGAAAGGCACCTCTTAAGGTATCATCAGACACCAAATGGCATATCCACTTGCTGGTTTGTAGAATGTCTTCTAATAGTTACTAAGACTGGGAAGCCAGACATTGCCAAATGTCAAATATCATGAGATATAATCTGAAATTCACTTTGTGTGTGTGTGAATCAGCTGCATACACCAATTCATTAGCATGGATGAAGCAAGATCTGTGAAGTGAGATTCATTATAAGTTATAAACATTCTATTTCAAACCCTTCTGAAAGATTCCATTCATGGAATATAGCAATGAACAACATTATCCAGATCTATAAAAGCATTATTCAGAATAAGAATCCGGGTCAGTCAGTGCAGGTAACACATTTGATGAAAAACAGTGCTTACCTTTTCTTGCAACTCAAGTCTGTTGTAGGAGGGTTCTATCAGGATATAAGTATTGAGTCTTCCTAGACAAAAAGAGTACAAGAAGCATTGGGAGCAGAGATGTCAGATCTACCAGAAGACAGTAATGGAAGAAAATGCACTTTAAGTGAAAGATGATAAAACAGGCAAAGCTAAAGGTTCAAAAGGAAGAGGAGTGAGACATTGTAAAAAAAGACAGCATCTACAGACTTCAGTATTAAGTAAGATCAGTAAAAAGTGGTGAAGTAAGAGAGAGAGAGATAGCTTCTGTGGTATCTGTAGGTGTCAGAGAAAGCATTCCTGTAACTTGCAATAGAAATAGCAGATAAGTCAAAATCATGAAATAACAACAAGAGGAATGAGGTACTTTGTTGAGAAGTTGGATAAAAAGATAAGAACCAATTTCCAAGGCACCAACTCTTGAATATACCCCCAACAAGATTGGTAGACAGCCAAGAATGAACACTGGCAAGAATGTGATAAAATTAAAACTACTTGAAAGAGAATTCAGCTTCTCTAATAAAATATCACAACCAGCCGTGAAACTGTAGATGATGAAAGAAGTAGCGGAATGGAATTTTCTTGAGATACATGACACAGCAGGGGAAAACAAGCCAGTGTGGATCAATAAGGAGATCTTGGGATTTTAATGAATTAACCATGGCCAATATGTAAGGAAGTAAATGAAGAGGCGGGTAGGTATAGAGATCTTCCAAGACTACTTCAAAGTGTCTGTTACTAGAAAAACAGGATTGAGTAGTGGAAACCATTAAAATGGGAGAAGATAGTTGTCCACCATTGCAAACACATTGATCAGAAGATGACAAAGCCATTGACACAACCACTAAAAAGCTGGAGGGTTTACTCTGTAGGGAGAAGCTTATTGTCTCTGAAAAACAAATCTTGAAGAATGTGCATAATACCTAGCATTTGACAGGCTTGGAGATAGGTATGATATCTGGTGGTAAGTGTGGAAGACAGAAGAGTAACCATGAGACTCCAAGACTTGCAATGACATTGGAACTTACTGAAATGTCCCTTGAACTGTGTTGATCCAAAGTACTAAATGTACCAAATACTGTGTTTGTACTGAATGAGATGTGAAGTTGTAGATGAGCCACCCAAGAGATTTAGCTAATGGGTAGTTAACTGAGTGTGTGTAAGAGACTGAATGAACAAAAGAGTCATAATAAGTCAAATGTCCATGTAAAAGTTGATGTAAACTGAATGGACAAAATCAGCAAAATTAGATTACTCATTGGATGATGTATGGAGCTAAAGCCAATCCAAAGGGAAGGGCAATGGATTGATAAAGTATCCTCTGATGGCAGAAAGAAATGACAGGATGATGTATGACTAGGGATGTAAAATTAAGCATCCTGCATGTCTACTAATTTTATCCAATAGCCACGACTAAGAAAATTTCATAACTACCACATATATTCCAACTAAAAGTTAGGTGTTTTCAGAAACTGATCAAGAATAAGACTAAAATCTAGATTTCTTTGGAACCAAAGAGATGGGAGTGAAATCTGGAGAATTAAGATAAATGACTACTCCTTTCTGAAAGAGATTTGAAAATTCCTGATCCAGAATTTATGAGTGACTGGATTAGAAGGGAGAGGATAAGACAAGTCCAGTCTGAGTGGTCTGTTAGATCCAGTGATCACAAAGTCAAGTGTCTCACATATGAATTAATGATCTGTGATGACCCACTCGCCCCTAACAGACAAGATGAGACATTTATCCAGAAGAGAAGAGTCACTGAGTGAGATAAGAAGATCCACCTTGCATACCTCTACATTTGGCCTTTCAGTAGGGTAGAAAAGAATAAGTTTCTAATGTTGGCTAGAGAGACATGATTGTTGACATTGTAAGAGCAATTCAACAAGGAATGGCTATCAGTATTTCAGAGATAAGCCTTCCTGATTGGAAGTAATATTCAAGTATGTAGAAAGAACAACTGAAACAGCATAAAATTCAAGCTAGCAGAAGTCAGTTAACCCTTCTCTACCTACCAATAGCCAAATAAAGCATAAAAACCAGATGAAATATAGCCTTTTTCAAATACATGCTTATATAATAATAAATTCAAAATAATTCTCTACAACAGATTATTGGGTATACAATTTCAGAAATTTATACACACCAGATTATCAGGCATACTATACCACAAACTTATATACACCAGATTATCAGGCATACTATACCACACTCTTATATACACCAGATTATCAGCCACAATTTACCACAAGTTTATACACACCAGATTATCAAGCACACTATACCACAAGCTTATATACACCAGATTATCAGGCACACTATACCACGAGTTTATACACACCAGATTATCAGGCATACTATACCACAAGTTTATATACACCAGATTATCAGGCATACTATACCACAAGTTTATACACACCAGATTATCAGGCACACTATACCACAAGTTTATATACACCAGATTATCAGGCATACTATACCACAAGTTTATACACACCAGATTATCAGGCATATTATACCACAAGTTTATACATGTCAGATTATCACACTCATTATAACCAGTGCTCAAAGTGGAGAGTAACTTGGGGGTACACGTACACCCACTTCTCTAATTTGGCATTTTGCCTACCCCTACTTCTTGTGCATGATTGACCCATTGCTGTATGGGATTACTGAATGAAAAATGCTATTACTGTTTTATGCTCAAGTGTACCCAGACTTCTGAATTCCCACTTCAAGCACTGATTATAACATGAGTTTACACACACCAGATTATCAGGCACACTATACCACAAGTTTATACACACACCAGATTATCAGGGACATTATACCACAAGTTTATACATACCAGATTATCAGGCACACTATACCACAAGTTTTCACACCAGATTATCAGCCACACTATTCCCCCAAGATTAAATCAAATTAAAAATATTTTTTTCAAATGACAAGTTGGGCTCTTGAAACTTGAATCTATGATTTGTATTTTATGAGCATGTATTTCCAGCTTTATTGTTCCATAATTCAAACAATCTACCCATTTGTAGGTTGTTTAAACTGCTAAGGATCTTTGAATTGAGTCCAAAGAATGAGTCTTGGAATGGTCCATTGTGAACTACAAGGTCATCTGTTATAATTTGTGTTAAATTCAGAGATGGTGTAAGCATAACAGCTGAGTAACATCAGAAATTTGTCGTTTAAGTATCTTTATAAAGAATTATTTGGAACTAAGTTTGTTATTGGTGCATTGTCTAATTGTTCATTATATAGTTGCTATTTTAGTCTACCTCATTATTGAGGAGTACAACCCAAAAATAGTTTTATTTGATGTTTCCTTTATTTTTGCATTATTATGTATAGTGTTTTACTTAACCCTAGAACACCAGCATTAAATTTTCAATCATGAACACCAAGCAGTTTTGGGTCATAGTGACCCTACGCTTTCATTCAAGGGTTTTATCTCATTGATACTCACAACCCAAGTGACGTTTGAAAACAAATCTGTAGCATCTAATGATATGTGGCCGAATGGTTAGCATGCTGGGCTGTGGATCTGAGGCTCTGTGGTTTGTGTCCTGTGCTGATTTATACAGAATTCAACAAAAAGATGATAAGTTATCAGATGTAGCTTATTTTAGCATATCAAAATTAATTTTTCAAACAGATTGATACATGTATTTATTGTTTGTATGGTGTTAATTTTTTGTTTTTTTCAAATCTTGTTTCAGAGTGCTCAACAGATTAATGGTTATCCAGAAAAGTACATAAGTAATATTTGGATAAGTTAAAGAAAATGGCTTCAGCTGTAAGTATGACGACTGCCCAGAAGATTGAGTTAATGAATAAAAAATTTCTTGAATTTTGGATAGATAAAGTCAGGAAATATGGCTCAATTTCTCTCCAGAATTTGACCGGTCACGCTTCTCAACTCTCTCCTGAATTACGAAATTTCTTTGGGACATCAAAAAGTGCTCTTAAGAAGTTCTTGTGGGATAATTCTGATTATTTTTATATTGATAATAAAGAAAATGTATGGCCAGCTGTCCAGGTAAAATTAGAACATACTGAACAGCCAAAATTTCATGCATCAGAAACAAAGTCATCATCTAATAAAACAGATGATAAAAATGATATCACTGAACTAAGGGGAGTAAAGGGGAAAATTATTAGATTATTCCCAGTTTATGGTTTCATTAGTATTGTGGAGCCTATTCAAGTTTCAGTTTATTTTGATTTAATGTCATTTGAGGATGGCTCAAAAGAAACATTACCTAGTTATAATCTAAGTCCAGGAGAAGGTGTTTACTTGAATGCTAAAAAAGGGCCTGATGGTTGTGAGGCTCATTTTCGTGCATCTCGAGTGTGGCGACCAAGTTATAATCCAGGCTCTAAAAACAAGCCCAAAGAAATGTTTGGGAAACTGGACAATTTGAATGAAATAAAAGATATCACTTTGGAAACTGAAGACCATGTAATTGGTCGAGGAAAAGTGCAAAATATCTTTGATCGTTTTGGATTTATTCAGCGTGATCAGAACTTGCAAAATAATGTTTTTTTTCACATATCTGATATTGAAAAACCTGCTGGGGTACAGTTTGAAAAATTAGAAGAAGTTATACAAATTGGAGAGGAAGTTCTTTTTAGTGCTACACGTTCCTACCAAAAAGATTCTTTAGCCAAGTGGCAAGCAACGTATGTGCTTATCAAGCATTTCTCTAAAGATGTTTTAAATTCCGAAATTGAACAAGAAGAAGTTTTTATCTCAGGGTCAGAAATGTCATCTGATTCTGATTTAGAGGACTGTACAAACTCAATCCATAAAAACCTTTCAATAAAAGACCCTCAGTTGGAAGATATTTCTCTAAATGATACAGAAATAGAGCTATCAAAAGCTCAATCACTAACTACAGAACAAGAGCTAGCAGAAACTCAGTCACTAACTGCAGAAATAGAACTAGCAGAGGCTCAGTCGCTAACATTTTTTGAGAAGGGGAAAGTTAAGCCAACTCTCTCAAGAAGAAACAGTGATCATTCAATAGGAAGTATTTCAAACTTGGTACCTAATAATGCAGCACTCAGAGAAAGTAATTGTTTATTGACTTCAAATCTTAAACCAACAAATAGCCAGTGGAAGAAGGAAAAAATAGAAAAAATATACCCAATATTAGGAGCTTCTGAAAATCGTATCGAGTCTGTGCATACAGTTTCAAACCCTTCAGAATCAGTTTCTGGACTGAAGAAGAGTATTGTTAATCCAAATCTACTCCAGCCAGAAGTGGCACGTACACAAGTAAATCAACTAAACCCTAGAAACCCAACATTGGAAATGGAAAGTTTTGTAAGTACTTGTTTTCTATGTGTTTTGTAAATGTGCTTGTATTTTGTAAAGCATTATAGTTTTTAATTTATATAACATTTTGAGCAAAATAGATTAAGACATGTTTTCTAGTCATTGACATATGTTTATATTTTTAAGATTGTAACTTATTTTGATAACTGTAACACTTCTAGCTTCTTCTAGGTTTCAGATTTTAAAGCTCCAAAGTACCCACTTATTTGAAAAATGTGAGGATCTGACAAAAAATTTTGGAAGTCCATGTGTCTAATCCTAATAAATGTAGCTTTTGAGGACAACTGTTTAATGCCATTTTGTGTTGACGATATTGATATCTGCCAAAATGGAATATCATGGTCTGACATCACTAAAGAGGTTGAAATTTAGCATTGTCTGAGTCCACTGCTATCATCAAATTGAAGATCGGTCTTGTTATCCAAGTACGCATCGGCATTAATGTCTGTCTCTTTTATTTCAAAGTTATAGTAGCAAAGTATTACCCCAGTTAGATAATAATTCACTTTAAAAGATAACTGTTTTCTACTATTGGAAAGAATTATAATTCACCAGTACCTAAGACTATTAAAATCAAAATGCTTCGTGTGGCAAATATGCTTTAAATGAAAGAGGTTCTTCTGTTAGAGATCTACTAAACTTGTGCTTGTTAGCAACCAATAGTGCTATAAGGGAGCATTTATAAAATCAGAAGTTACTGGATTGTAACATTTAAACTAATTAAACATAATGTTTAATCCAATTACCATATATGTTATAATATGTTTACTGATTAATCTTCTTAATTTTTTTAGACATAGCCAACTATGAATATCTAGATACAGTGTTTAAAGCTATAAACACAATTATGGGATGTAAATGGACACCTTACAAGGTTGGTCAATGTGATTGACCTTGTAACCACAGAGTTTTGATACTATAGTTTAACTACAGTTTAATATGTTTTGTGTATCTTCACAAAATAAAGTTTTACTAAAAAAATGTATGATATTTATGTAGGAGTTTGTTTGTTTTTAGTAAAACTATATTATTTTCTCTATCCTAACTCTATATAGACTTGGTTGATAAAAATACACAAAATAAATTCAAATTTCCCTCTTTTTTTTTCTTTTTAAAATGATTTAGAATTGTTTATTATAAATAGCCTAAAGCTCGTAACAGTATACATCTATTTATTTTATTGTTTTATTGCCCTTTGAATTATGTCTAACTAATAGTCCCACCACACAAGTTGTAAATAATTTGGCAAACACATAGCTTACTTTACTATATCGAAAGACATAATGTATGAGCATCTCGTAAATAATTTTTATTTGCTTATTTTTTTCATTATTTTACCTGATGTAACCTTATCTAACCTAATAAGTGTATAATTTTTACATTTTAGTTACTTCTATAATAATAAATAAAGAATATACATGAAGAACAAGAAGTATAGCACTTATCTTTGACCTCTTGTTTTTTTGCTGTTCATTACTTGTGAAATTTAAGCCTACTTTTTTATACTAATGGTACGAGTACACTAAATAATTGTTATTTACTTAAATAATGCACCTAATAATAGCACACACAAAGCAAACAATGTCATATAACTCTCATAATGTAATGTGCTTTCTAACTATGGCATAAGAACCTTAAAATATTTCTCTAAGCTCGTCAATCTGAACACCGCAAGAGAAATCTTCGAACTGAAGACAAAATAGACAGTACTCTGCACTGAAAATAATGTAATATAGTATTATATGTCAGAGAGAAATATTGGCAATTTGTGAAAGAGAAGATGTGATAGATGGGCATGGCAAATGGTTCTGATTTCCTCACTTATGACTCCGTAAACAAATAAGATTGAAGGCTTTAAAAATTAGACTTTGCCTTAGTAATATCTATGTTATAATGAGTAATTTACATTAAATTCTCTACTTCTTGGGGGTTGGTAAATAAATTAGAGAAGGACAAATGCCACAATTCTTGCACTAGAGAACAGAGGCAATTTTGAAAATATTTACTTATAAAAGTAAGAACTTAAGATGGTTGTTGTAAAGTGACAGACCTGTTACTACCTTTGCAATGGTTTTTGAGTAACAAGGTATACAAGTGTACTTAAACCGATATAAAAGTCCATGAAGATTGTTGTTGTAAAGTAACAAACCTGTTACTACCGTTGAAATAGTTGTATAAGTATGTTAAAGCTAATATAAAAAGTATAATACAGAAACACTAGTTTTTTTCTGATTTTGGTGTACATTCTGTTAAATCCTACGCTGTGATACTAAAATTATTTTTGAATCCCAAGCTACACAAACACCATACAATGGAATGTTTGTGTGAATATTCCAAGCTGGTGGCCTTAGTTTTTTGGAATTTACACCAAGAATCTTCACCAGTAGGGCACAAGTGATGCTGAGGTTTGATGTTGGTTGATATTTTAGGGTAACAAGTTGCCCAAATTCAATTCTTCATACCTTCCAGATCACCTTTGTTTGAGTGTATACCTTCCCCATACCAGTTATGGAGATTAACAATAACCTTATCAGTGAGTCTGCCAGCACCTCTTATTCCCTTGCCATCACTAAGCTTTTTACCTTTCATCAGATTTTTGCAAAGCTGTTCCTTGCCTTCTCTGAACATATCCTACACACACACACACTTTTTTCTCTACAATTCTGGCTCCATATAGTTTTGACTCCTTCACTGTATGGAAGGATTTATTGTCACCATACCTACTGGTTCCATTGAAGGTGCAGAACCATCATAGTTTGCTAAGCAAACTCTGTGATGTTCCTCTTTCTCCTTTGCTGTCCTGTTTTTGTTTGAATAGCAGGATTGACAGTACCTACTCAGCAGTTCGTAGTTTCTGACTTTCCTAGATTCACTTGAAAGAACACTAACAACACCATATAAGGAAGAGTATCCCCATTTCTGCCAGGTACCATCACATGTCAAAAGATGTTTCAGTAACTTTGCCATCTTTTTGCACATCTTCAGCATCTTTTTTCATGTTTTCACTAGCAACTGTTTCAGTGGCATTCAAAACAGATGTGAAATGCTTGTCCCAAGACTTCTGTGAACTTGGTGGGTTCATGTTCATAAAACCACAAAACAATTCTCTGGCAGTTCTACTTTCTCAGTGTATGATATAACACACACAAATTGCTTGTTAGTAGCAAACGAGTTCTATCCCTTTTTTTTTACTTCTATGCCAAACTTTCTCATTATAACAGTTCATTCCTTTGCAACAAATTTTGGGGTCACAGCAAGTCCACTTCTATTGGTAACTTCTAAGTACAACTTTTCCCCACACAAACAGTGGCAAAATTCATTAGTTACTTCTAACAGAATGTCCATATCAACAAACATATTACCTCTTTGGATACAATCTTGTGGAATCTTTTCTTTTCTATGGTGGGGTCCCTTCAGAAGCATGCAAATGTTCAAATTGGTTGAAGGAAAATATATTGGTGTTGTGATCGAAAAATCATTTAAGTCATTTAAATTAGTAATAGGGCTAATCGAATTTTGGGTAGTATCTCTCTTCTCCTCTCCAGAGAAAACAAGTTTAGAGATTTTAGTCTCTCCTCATAGGATAATCCCACTATCCCAGGTATCATCATAGTGGCTCTTCTCTGAACCTTCTCTTGAGGAAGGGAGCCCAAAATTGTACACAGTACTCTAAATGAGGCCTTACAAGTGATCTATACAGTGAAACAATAATATCCCTTGTCTTGTATTCAATGTTTTAAATCAGAGAGAATTTAGATCCATCAAATGTTTTTATGCTTGCAGTGAAAATAGGACAAAGGGGTCATAAATTCAAATTTTGGCAGTGAAGGATTTGTCTGCAGTTTAGACAGTATTACTTTTCAAACAGGGTGATTGGCTTTTGAAATGAGCTGCCTTCAAGGGTGGTGGAGGCAAAACATTAACTGAGTTCAAGAAAAGATTGAATGAATACATGAATAATAAGAGGTGGTTATAGTTGGGAGCTGGGACATCCTTGGTGGGCTAATGAGCTCATTTTTGTTTATTTAAAATTTTATGAATTTAATAAGCTTACCAGTGTTCTCTTCACTCAATTGCTTGTTTCTGGTGAATCTTTTACCATGAAACTTCCTCTTCTTTGGTTTGTGAGGACCACGCTTTCTGTTTATCCTCAAATATTCAGGATTTACCACGGAAGTAAACACTTTTGATGGCAAGTTAGCTAAAGGAATTAGTAAAAACACTTTTTTTGTTCAACACACAAAGTTTGATGTTTGTGATTGACTCATCAGTGGAAGGTTATTGGTTCAGTCCATTACTTTAAAGGGTGTATCAAGAATGCAGCATTTTGATAAGCAGGGGGAATTATAGACATATTGGCTAAAAGTGCTTTTAAAGAAGGAGAAAAATAATTTTGGATCACTTTCCGTGGAAATGGAATGTAACTAAAGTGGTTTAAATGGAAAACCTTTTATTTTTAATACTTTTTAAAGGTTTTTAGTTTAGCTAAGACTCTTTTTTTTGCATTGGACATTGAAAATAAAGGGGTGAAGGATTCAAAATATGCAAGAAAATAATTGATATTTTTGAGATTTAAAGGGCATATGCTGCCTTAAAAAA